CACAGAGAACAATATAGCCAGCTTCAGGTAATTTCCATGTAACAGATAACATCTGGGGGAAATGCAGAAAGTAAGTTATGCAAAACTAATTTTCAAGTGACCACATCTGTGGACGTTATTTATTGCACGTTCACTTTACAGTCCATTATTCTGTTTAGAACTCTCTTCTCTTCTTTATTAGAGCTTTTAATGTACTCACCTTGGTTCCAATGGCCTGTTCATAATCGGAAAAAAAAGAAAAGCATAAGTGGCATTCACGTGGAGCAACGTGGCCGTTTTTTTATTATATCCGTTTGTGTGCAAGCATTCAGAAACAGCAAGAGAAACACATTGATTGCTTTACATCCAAAGTAATACTTAGGGGTATTTGAAAGTCAAGCAAAACCAGTCATTTGGCCAAATGGCTGTGTGTATATATTAGAAAGTCCTACCTTTTAAGCTCAGCCTTAGGCCTGAGGCAAGTTACACTAAGCATTTCCCTTTGGTTCTTGGTCTGAATGTCATGGGTACTAGTCTTCTGCGGAAAGGGGGGTGAGAGGTAGGAAGTGGCTAAATCCAGACCAAATAGGTTTTTTTGGGGGGGAGTGTTGTTGTTTTATTTTTTAAATATACTTACTTTATCATTTTTCTGTTTTTATTTTTTCCAGATTTAAAAGGTAACATATTAGACTTTTGAGGGGAGAAAATGTGAGACAATTGCCCTCCTACAGGAATGTATAAAAATAGTTAGAAAACTGGCTTTATTTAATTTGCTTCAACTATTCGTAGACTTGAGGAAATTATAATGTTCTCTCAGAAAATCTAACTCAATAAAGCTGACCATGTCTCTCTGTTTTAAATAGATTTTATTACAGAGCCAGTGATGTTGTAAAACATGAGGTTTTGTTAAAAAAAAAAAAATACAAAGGCCTAATTGTATTTTTTAAAGAAAGCATTGCATCAGACGGTTTCATTTAAGCATGTATGCTGCCTCTGCCTCTGCGTGCTCACCACAATTATCGATTCTAATTTCCCTTGGACTTTTTTTTTTTTTTTTTTTTTGAGGAAGGCGATCACTTTCCATAGAGGAAAACTCACAGTGATACTCGGGAGCTTTTTGTTTACTTCAAACTCTGTACTTAAAACTGCACCTTCGTCTACTGCCTAACACAGCTAAATTTAATTCTTGGTGAAAGAGAGAAACATCTGTGGTTCGGTTCATTAACAGTATGCAGAGCATGCAAAGAAAAGAGATTCTCACCCCCACTCCTGAGAATGAATTGCATCAATTTAATAGTTATATGAACGACACACATTAAAAAAAAAAATCAAGAGACAGAAAAACCTCAACTGTCAGCCATAATTTCAGCTTCTGGGAATAAATGCTTCAGTCTACCAAAGAAAGGAAGTATGGAGCCAGAGAGAACCAAGTTTTCATATGTGTGTTAGAGCACATGTGTGCATGCATGTGCATACATGTGCATATTAACACATTCATTAACACACATATACATATACACACACATGAAATACATTCACAAGCATTGACTCATACACACATGCATTCATACAGGCATGCACACCATATATCCATACACATATATATGTACATACATATGTACACACATAAATTCACATACATACACTCATATGCATATAAACACAGACACACAGTTACACATTTACACACACATTACATTAAATGCACAACTCATATATGTAGACACATATATACACTCTCACATGCATACACATATATAGAGACAGAGCAAAGACAAGGAAGAAAGAAAGAAAGAAAGAAAGAGAGGGAGACAGAGAGGGAGGGAAGGAGGGAGGAAGGGAGGGAGGGAGGGAGGTGGGAAGGCTGAGTGGTTAAGGTTCTACATGACCTGAGTTCAGTTCCAAGCACTCATGTTAGGTACCTCAAAATTCCCTGTACCTGCTGGTGAAACCCACAGAAACAGCTGACCTGAACATCCGGGAACTCTTGCTCCCCAGTCTGATAGCTGGAATACCAGCATGGGACCGATCCAGACCCCAGGAACATGGGTTTCTGTGAGGAAACCTCAGAAATCTATGGGACCTCCTGTAGGAGTTCAGTACTTATCCCTAGCATAGGTGTGGACTTTGGGAGCCCATTCCACATAGAGGAATACTCCCTGAGCCAAGACACACGGGGGTGGGTCTAGGCCCTATCCCAAAGGATAAGAAAGACTCTGATGATACCCTACGGAATGCCTCACCATCCAGGGGGAGCAGAAAAGATATGTGACAGATAAGGTTTTAGATGGGGTGGGGGTAAGGGAGGATGGGTGGGAGAAGGGAACTGGGATTGTCATGTAAAACAATCCTGTTTCTAATTCAAATAAAAAAAGTTGGGGAAAAAAAACTCCCTGTAACTACAGCTCTATGGGTATCTGATGCATTCTTCTGGCATCCAAGATACCCTAATGCATACATACATTCACACATACATACATACACACATGCATGCATACATACATACACACATACATACATACCCTTTAAAAGGAAGTCAATCAATCAATCCATACCACAGAGGTGTGAGGAAGAAAACATAAGACTTGAACACAAACATCTGTTTGCCGTTAGGTCTAGAATCTGTGGAGGACTAGGGCAGATCACGGGCTCTGCCTCACCAAACAGAGAGGTCCTCTGGCAAGGACGTCAGTAGATGAGGACAAACAGGCAGAGGCCCCAGCCTATGTGCCCGGAGCACAGCAGCAATGTGGGTCACAGTAAACAAGACAACATTCTACTTCATTAAAAAGAAAAACATTTTCCCACGCCCATCAGCACATGCTCAATGCCTGCAGCCAATCCAGTCAATCCAATTCTTCTTTTTAGTCTCTCCCTTGTCACCATCACCCCAAACACACCCTGTACTACATAGACTGTTTCTGGCCATATATTGAAGTCCATACCTCCAAGCTAACACCCCATTTTCTTCCCCCATCTCTGGTTCCCCCAGGCAGCTTCTTCATTTTATCTGTAAGGTTTTCAGAGGACACTGAAGTGTGGCTAGCCTCTTTCTTGCCTGGGAAAAAGAAGAGCAATAGAGATTTGGGAGTTTGCAAGCCAGGCATGATGGCTCGGGAGTTGGGGGCTGGGGGGGAGACAGGTGCTGGCAAATAATACTGAGAGGATGGGGTGCCTTTGCCCCTCAATTGGAAAAAAGCAACAGTTTATGAAGGTGATGAGAAGAAAGCCCCACTGTCCTGAGGTCTCCTCAATATTCTGATGAACACTTAATCTACTCAAGATAAACAGCGGGAATGATGTCATGCAACAGAAAAGTCACTACCCCAGGCTTTAACCCTAAGACTGTCACTAAGTAATTATTGGATCTTAGACCAATCATTTCACCTCTCCATTGCCGTATATCCTTGCTACCCTATCTCTACAACTAAGCAGCAATTTCCTATACACTCACAAAAAATTAATAATATAAATTTCAGTTCAAATACATACATACATACATACATGCTGGTAAAACCAGAGAACAAATACACCTCCAGCACTATCCAATGCCTATAAAGGAAGAACAGTAATATTGAAACGATGGGATGTAACACAGAGAACTTAAAAAATGGCTTTTGTTATTTTTCTTTCCCACAAGCATCCATAGATGGTAATGGGGGGGTGGAGTAAGCCATTCCATAGTTCTGTCTCCAAATTTGTATACTCAGGTCCAACTCCGTCAGCACACCAGCGAGTGACCTCATCTCAGGGCTCCACTAACAAGCCCATGAAAGTTTGCTATGTAAATTGGAACAAGTTATTGATTTATAGTGAGGTATGTAAAAGACACACAAGCCGGAACACTCAAGTAGGCATGTCTCTACAGATCAACTGAGATGGGAAATTAAATTATGGTCAAAAAACATTGCTTGTTAAACACGGAATTAGAACAAGAGGACCTAAATGAATGATTCAGAGTTTAATACTGTTAGTGCTCTCAGCTCCTCTTTCACCCTACCTGGTGGTGGCCAGATGGACACAGCCAACACTGACATCCATGGCTCTCCTTTCACTGTCATTGTGGATGGTCTTCCTCCACTGCATCTACATCCTCTAGGTAAAGCTGTGTCGGCAGCTCACAGTGAAATCTTGCTTTGCTATGAGTTCTCAGTGAGTCCCTCTGATGACTCACTGGGCTCTGGTTTTATACACACATTATACTTCAAAGATTCTATTGTGTCCACTGCTATATTCTTTGAATGTGTCTGCATGCTGTGTGTGTGTGTGTGTGTGTGTGTGTGTGTGTGTGTGTGTGTGTGTGTGTTCTGTGTACCCACACATATACCCATGCTGTGTGTGTGTGTGTGTGTGTGTGTGTGTGTGTGTGTGTGTGTGTGTGTTATGTGTACACACATGTGTAGCCACCTGCATGTGGAAACCACGAATCAACTTTGCATGTTGCACTGTCCACCCAAGGGAGCTTCCCAATGATCCTCAGGGACCCTCCTGCCTCTGTTCTCCCAGCGCTGGGATTATAAGCACACACTGCCGCACTTGCCTTTTTTATTTAGTTTTTTAATGTGGGTCCTGGGCATCAAACTCAGGTCCTCAGCAAGGCCAACCCCATGGGTTGTTGATAGCCACTTTGCTTGTACCGCAAGAGCATGGAGATCCTGCTAAGTCATGTCAGTCAGCACCAGGCTGCTGCTGGGTGTAGGAAGCACCGAACCCTGTGCCAGAAATGGAGGAGGCAGATGGCACAAGGGGTCTGAAGCTTGGCTCTCTCCCTACAAAGAGCTTATAAACAGGAGTGAGAGGCAGGGCTTGATGCAGAGATCAGTGCAAATGAATGAACCCTCAACCACAGAATAAAGGTAAGGCGAAAACGCTGTGAGTGAGATATGGCCCTTGGAAATCACCAGGCAGTGGTATCAGAGAGTTGCAGCGAATGGTACCTAAATATCAGATTTAGAAATACGCCAGACCTGTGAGGGAACTGGCTGAGACGGTGCCACTCAACCAAAGTTCTTCTTTTCCAGCAAACCGTAGAAGTGTGCAAGTCTGCAGACCACCCTTTCCCAGCCCCACTGGAGGAAGGAATCTCTTTGGACATCTATTCAGCTTTCATAGATCGGTTGCCAACCCCAGAGAGCGAAGGGAAGGTAGGCTTGAGTTTGCCTTTCCTCACCCTGCTAAGCATTATACCTGCACAAGGTAGAAAGTACATGTTCTCCCAGCGCCTTTGCCTCTGACTATTTCCTAGCCAATAAAAATAGTCTCTTCAGATTTGACTCACACACAGGCTAGCTAATGGTGGCCAAGAGTTTTTATCTCCTCCCACCATCCTACCCAGGCTCCACCTTCACAGTCCCCCAAGTCCCTTGAGGTAACATAAAATCAAAGTCTCCTTCCAGTTCACCACTGCTCAGGGTAGGGCGGCGGTGCCATACAGAGTAGAAGTGTGAGGTAGCCTATAAATCCCTGAGCGCTCACATGCTCGTTTGGATGCTGTTTGCTGTCAATGTCTGTTTATTTCCAACGTCTTAGGTGCTGGATCAAGAGCAAAGCCCGCAGGATCTCCAGCCAGAGAGTGAAGCGGCAGAGGCGGATTCTTTAGCTGGCTTCACCATCGATGATGTCAAATCAGCACTGGCTCGAGTGACAGATGAGGTTTTATTGAACATTCAGGTACTGAGAATGGGCAGCGCACTCCCCAATACGCTTGGTGAATCAGCGAGCGCCAGCTGTAAACACTGTAAACACTGCCTGCTCTGGTCAAGCAAGAGCCAAACTCAGGGTTTGCACACTTTATCTGATAAGGCTACATAATCCTCAGCTGGGTCTCCTGAATTCAGTAAGATCACCAAACAGATTTGCCAGCAGCACCTGTGTGCTGTTACCAGGTTGCAAAATCTTTTGACACTGAAATGCCACCACCACCCCAAAAAATAAACAGGGCCTTATGCAAGAGTAAGTGACCCAGGCTTCTGAAGAGGGAACGCTGCCCATCAAAACCCTCAAGTTTAGCTAAGTCACCTCATCCGGTTTCAGGTTTGAAATACTTCTCAAGCACTTTCTGTCTTGACATATCACTAATTGCTAAGCCATTTGCGCCATGGGCGCCCTACGAATGGGCAGCAGACTCCGCCTCCGGGCCACTGCCTGTCATCTTTCACCGGGTTACTTTGTGTTTAATACTTCCCCATTCCGTCCAAGAAACAAATAACTCCTACGACCTCCACATAAAGACTTACAGGAATCTGCGTGATTTTCTAAGCTGAGTGCTTAAATAAAGTGAATTGTGTGTTTTGAGAAATGACCATAAATCACCACGCTTTTGCATCTGAGGGGAAGATTTATTTGTTATCTGAACTTGGGACCGTATATAAAAAGCACACCGTATTAATAACTAATTTGGGAAGAGTAACAGCTTAGGCTGTCCTAAGCATACCTTGTTGCTGGCTTAATCATCAAATGTTATTGCAATATTTACACGCACATTTAATGATCCGGTGCCACCAGGATCAGCCAAAGTCCCCAGCTTAATAAGGGGTGTTTAGTGTTTACCAGAAATAGTGGAAGAACACGTTTTACACAAAGGGCTATTGTTAACAGCCCTGTGAATGTAATAACTGGTTACTGTGTAGAAGGGCAGAGTGCAGCTGAATTAAGTTGAGTTCAGAACATACCTCCTTTTTAGATTTGATAACATTTCCTCTAAATATAGTTTATGTATAATCATGGCCCAGGGCTCCTTTGCAATCCCACAGCTCTGAAATTATTGCTGAGGAATTACTAGACAAGCAAGAGAATTGTTCGCAGGACCCACAATTGAAAACATCTTTACCAAGGCCATGTTCCATGAAGGGAGCTGCACGCTTTTTTAACTGTTCGCTGACAATTTTCTTCTAGACTCTGCAACATTGGCACCTCTCTCTCGTCTTTGACAGAAAGAATAGGATTGGTATACGGGCTTGCTATCTTCCCATTAACATGAAGCCATCTGGAAGTTCAATAGCTTGTATACCTCAGTGCAATGGCTCACAGGGAGAACAGGGACAGGGCGGGAGGCAGGGGGAGGGACCCCGGGGCCCTGTGGGTACTGGGAGTGTCTCTGTCCTGGGTGGATCTAATCAGCGTGGACCAGAAGGCCGCAGCTTTTTTCAACAAAATGGCAAGATGATGCAACTTTCAAACCACCCTCTCTGTGCTTTCTCCCTGCAATCCTACTAACCTCCATGCAAGCGAAGAGGGCGCTTCTGGAGACAACTGGGACCCAGACAGATTGCCTTTAGTCTAAAGTTTGCAGACTCAGCAGACTCAGCAGGTGCTATGAGCCTGGTCCTGCCTGCAACTCGGGCGCCATCCAAGGCAGCCGCACTTCTCACACCAGGACCAGGCTACTTTAACTGTTAATACACCTGTGGCTCTGTGCCTCCCTGGTGTCTACCTTCCTCTTGAACAAATTCCAAATTGGGCCATTGCCCCGAGCCTTGCTTCAATTTTTCCTTTGGTGTCAGACAGGCTAAGCTACTTTCCACTTCTAAATGATCCTAGTTGGGAAAAAACTGCCACACCCCTTTTCAAAACTGTGGGCCACTGGGCACTGGATACATGCACCTGCTGTGCCAAGCATGAATACATGCACTAACTCAGTGTATTTGGCTTTCAGTGTTCGTGATCGCTCCGTAGTATTTTTTTCCCTCTTTATTTAACAGCCACACTGTTATTGCAATTTTTGAAAAAAAAAGTCAATAGAGAGTTTATATTTCAGTCCATTGTCTAGAAGCTATTTCTCTATTGTAATTCCAAGCCGATATCAACTTCCCTAATACAGAACCTCCTGAAATGGAGTATAAACTGCTAACTTTTTATGTTCATCTACTTATTTTTCCATGATTCACTTTGCAGCTCTAGAGATTTATTAAGAATGAAGTTCTTGGCCCTCAGATGTCAATGCAAATTACAGAAAATAGACCAAACGTTTTAAGCCAATAAGGCTGAGATATTTTCATTTGAAAGATACATTCGAAATGAAATTAGTTCTGCCCTGAGTTGCATAATAAAAATAACACCCAATGGAACAAACTTTAATATATTTAAGGAATAATATTCCAGAGAAATGGGGATGATAATGCTGGATGGACTCTTGCATTAAATGTTGGCTGTTGGCCTTGATGCAGCAAAGGAATAAAATAGTCTTAGAAAAGGTGAAGAGAATTTGACATCCTGCCATTTACGATGCCTTAGGTCAACTTTGAATTGTCTGAGTGAGGAAAGTCATCCGAGGTAGTGGTTAGTGAAAGCTACTGAACACAGTACAGGGGCCTCAGAATATTTCCTAATGGAAATAGAATTAGACCCAGACCCAAGCTGAAGGCAGCATGTCTACTCAGCAGGATTCTGAGGCATAACAAGGTTGACAGCAAACCAACAGGGCCAGTGAGTAGACAAGAAGTCCTTTTTTCCTTCCAGGCTCCGCAGGCGGGTTGGTTGTACCTAAACTAAAGAGCCAAAGTCTGATGATCTGGAAGTTGTCTCTCCTGCCAGTACTGTACCCTCTTTAGGCACATGCTACCTTCATGAAGCTTCTCTCTCCAAAGCCTGCATTGAAATAAACTCCGTCTCAGGGAAATACAAGGAGAGCTCCCAGATCCTTGTGGAAACACTTGGATCTGGGGAGCCAGAGAGGAAATGGTAGATGACAGCCCAGCTAGTCTTTTCTGGAAAACAAGAGGTGATGGTTGGACACAGAGGCATTAGTGAGAAGAGAAGCCCACCATCTGGCTAAAGCAAGTCCTCCCAATCCATTACCTGTGTCCAAATTATTTCTTCAGACCATTTCAACACCTAGATGGTGCAATGTGCCATAAATGTATGTTAATTCATAAAGTGCAACAATTTTGAATATTTCACAACAATATATTAGTGAACTATTCCATTAGTGATGTATATTGTGAAATCAGGAGTTGGGATTTTGAATGCAAAGCTGAAGTGCAATGGTAACTAATCCCTATTCGATACTTCATTTCCCATTTAAAAACTAGTCATAGTGGTTAAGTGACTTGTCCAAAGTGAGATAGTCTAACTAGACCATAGATTAGTTGATAGTATATAAACCATGTTCCTTTTAGCTCTGCTAAATTCCTGCATGCGAACATCTTTGTAAAGGGCCATTCCATCCCTTCCCTTGCCTCATCCACTCACCAGTACCAAAGAAAAATATGAAGACATCAGAAGTCAAAAGTGGATCTTAGAAAAACAAAACAAAACAAAACAAAAAACACCTTAAAAGCCCTGCCCCATTCTATACGCACACAAATCATGAGTCTAGAATTGTCAGGACACCAATGTGACCTGACAGAAATATCAACTCTTTCTATGATAGCAAAACCCAAATCTCATTAAAATAGTAATCAGGGGAAAACATTGCAAAATCACCCATTACATGTACCTTCTTAAAAATTACATAAATACATAAAAATATTTTAATCGTATCTGGTCATGAAACAGTAATGCTTTTCTCTACTTAAATAATAAAAGTTTATCAGAAATATAGTTACCATGAAGATTTCAAATTATGTTATATACTTAAATATTCTAGACTTTGACTCATTAACACACAGGAATATAAAGTATTCTCCATACACATGTAGATTTCCTCAGATCATGCAAATAGTAACCACCTGGCTCCCTACTGCCATTGTCCCTGAATACAGCTGTATTATTCATCTTGATGGAAGGGGGGCATTTCTTGAGCTCCTAGGATTGAGATGTGCAAATCCAATGAGGTGTGTTTCTGAAATCACGCAGGTAGTGCAGAATGTCACTGACAGAGACTCACCACCATCACAGCTGCCGTGGTCGCTAAAACCTGTCACCAATTGCTTATGAGTTTTTTTCTTTTTGTTTCTGTACCAAAAATATATTACAAAGTGGCATGCACGCAAGAATTGTAATGCATGATGAATACTCTTAATTATGAGAGCTGTCCTAATTACGAGATTACTCGTGTTATTATTTCACACACTGGAGCTTCCAGGAATCCCACTTGGAAAACATTAGAGGGAAGGCCAAAATGAAGGGTGGAGGGGCCCACAGCACTGCACCAACACTGAGCCTAAAGCAGTTATTCTGATTCAGCCCTTATTGGCAAATCTGTCTGGAAATGCAGGTCAGTTATCCTATCTTCCAACATGAGGCTGTGAGGAAAATGGCTGTCCAAACACCACATCCTGTCCATGGTAGACATGCTATACATTGGGAATGTGTAGAGAAATATGATAAAGTGTTATCGCATCACCACAGGCTGGAACACAGCTCTGTCTGCAAAACAGGAAGGTGTGTGAAGGATAATGTCTGTCTTTAAGCCCTACAGTATGTAGAAACCACAAAGACAATGTGCAGCCAAAGATAGCTCCATCATAACCACTTTTTTTTTTTTAATGATTGTCTCCACAGAAGGAGATAAACGAAAAGCTGCAAGCACAGGAAGAGGCCTTTAATACACGAATAGAGAAATTGAAAAAGGCCTGAGGACTCAGGACGAGCAAAGTGATGCCGGACTTCAGAGGAACAAACAAAACTGGCCAGAATAATAGATTCTCTGGAGTGCTGCATCACCTCCATGCCGCCGTGAAAGGGAAGCCCACTTTTCTTCATCCCCACTGCTTAGCAATGCCCGGTCCTGACTCTCCTGTGCCACACCCACCTCTGAGTTTGCAGCGCCAACTGCTGCAGCACTGCTTTGTGTGCAAGACTTTGGAGAGTTAACGCATGAAAATATAATTACTGTTAGGATGTCCCTATGTCGTTTTGACTAATAAATACTATTATTCTAGAGAAGAATGAAAACAGTCTTTTGAAATTACACAAAAAAAAGGTAGACAAATAAGTTTTACCATTTTGGACTAGAATGCCTATCACATTGTTGTAGCACTGTGAGGAGAGGCCACTTTTTACTACAAGGGCAAACTTGCTAAGCAACAGCCACGATAGCATGGTCCGCAGGGTTGTTGTTGTTTTTGTTTTGTTTTGTTTGTTGTTTTCTTATTTAACTCATTTGGTTTTCTTATTTAAAGGTTTCGGTGTGAAACCAATTTTCTGAAATTATATAATGTAGTTTGAAGCATTTTAATTTATTCTGCACTGTATTTGCTGTTTCTAATCTTGTTACCTTCCCAGGAGAACACATGACCTATATAAAAAAAGAAGCAATATATAAATGATTATTAAAGGCCAACCTATATATAGATTGTAAAACTCTTAAATACAAATCAAACTCAGAGTTCCTAAAATTAACCATTGTACTGCACAGGGATAATGGGTGGAGGAGGGTACTAATGGAAAAAGAAAACCCTCAAGTCTTTAAATACCCTGATGAAAATACAATTTCAAGATGAAAATAGCTACATACCAACAGTTTTTCCCTGGTTGGAAAGATTAATTAATCGCTACCTAGGCCCTTTCCTATGTTCCTAGACTTAGGCGGAGGAGGAATATTCTAGAATGAGGACACAATACTGCTGAAGGGAGAGGAATCCCTAAAGAATTTTTGAGGTGTGTGATTCTGGGTGGCACTTGGTTGGATATGGGTGGTGGCCTCACTCTCTCTGTTCTTCTGGAACAGAGGTGAAACTGACAGCATTGCTACATCCTCCAACTCCAGAGGAATTCTTAAGGTAAGGGCATGCTTGCTTCTCATGCACTAGGCCGGGCAATGCCCCCTCGCAGCAACCTCTTACTGCAGGAAATGTGAAAGGCTGTAGGATACCACCAGAAGGGTTCCTAGTCTGCATCCTCTTAGCTGTCTTTTCTCAAGAGACAGCAGTGGCAGCAAAGATTTCGGGCATGTAAGCCCAAACAATAATAATGGAATATAGATAGATAGATAGATAGATAGATAGATAGATAGATAGATAGATAGATAGACAGATACATACATAATACATATATACATGGATAGATTAGATAGATACATACATATATACATGGATAGATTAGATAGATAGATAGATAGATAGATAGATAGATAGATAGATAGATAGATAGATAGATGATAGATAATATAGAGGAGAGATAGATATAGATAAATACAGAGAAATAGAGAGAAATGATAGACACATGTAATTCTCCTTGTAACCATGAGAGACAGGTAGGTATTGTGAGCCTTACTTTATAGAAGCTTAAATCATGGATTAAGTTAAAGAAATTACACAATTAAGAATTAGTGGTTCAGGGGCTGGAGAGTTGGCTCAGAAGTTAAGAGAACTTGCTGCTCCTGCAGGACATGCAGATTTGGTTCTTAGCACTCATATGGTGGCTCATAACTTATAACAATTTCATTTCCAGTGGATCTAGTACCCTCTCCTGGCCTCACCACACTGGCAATTCACATACATAGAAGCAGGCAAAATACTCACATATGTAAATAAGCATAAAATAAATATTTAAAAAAAGAATAAGTGGATCACAACCTTAAATCTAGTTGTACATAATTTACAAAGGATAAAGGTGGAATGCAGAGAACTTTTACAGTAATTTTCCAATTATTGCATATCCAGTAATTGGCAGAATCAGGTTTTGAACCTGGAGTCGAGTAGTCAAAACTGATATACCCAACCTTTGTCTCCATCTGTCTCATAATGATGATGAACTAAAATGAAAGCTGACTGTTTTTGTCTGTGTATGATACTGGAATCCTTACTTCCATCACCAGAACATTGAGCATGTAGGAAACTCACAACCAGATGATAAACCCAGCTCCATCTACCCAGTCCTGAAGAGTGTATTCAGCAGAACATGGCCTGTGTAACTGGACAATAGCTGTCATCCAGAGACAAAATTTGTCTCTGTCCTGACTATTGATCACACTGAACACCATGGCAAAATAAGTTTCAGGGAGTTTTTGCAAACTAAGCAAAGCATCCTTCTCTAGCCTGAGAAGTCAGGGAGGAGGTAGGGTTAGGTTTACCCATGCAGGAGTACCATGCAAGCACTTGCAGAGGGGCTGGCACCCAAGAGACCCAGCGGTTACTCAATGGAAGATGCAGGAAGATGCACTCCAGGCAGAAAGAGATCCACAGATGCAAAGCCCCTGCAATACAATACAAAGGCTGAATAACTGGCCAGAGCCAGAGCTCTCACAGGGTCATTGAACACATTTTTTTAGACCCTAAAATAAAGCAGGAAAAATTGTTAGCAAGTTTTATATAGTACCATTTGATTGATGTTTCTACAAAGATCAACCTCTGGTACCAAGACTGCCTTCCTTGGATCCATGGAGAAAAAATACTCTTCGGAAAAGATGCCTAATGTTATGAGGTTGTATAATACCGCCTAGCAATCTCGAGAGGTGGGATAATTTTTTTAATGACTTTAAGTCATCAGGTCTCTCAACTCTAAGTGGAGAAGGCAGTCCATTGAAGAGACAATTAAAATTAATATTCCTTTTATGCCCAAGATAAGGCTCAGGCATTCTCTGATTGTCCACACAAGATAGGAAGCATCCATCAGGGATTTCCTCCCTACCCCTGTAGTGCTTCAGAGATTGATCGGATTCACTGTGTTATGAGCAAACCTAGCTGCCATGACTTCAGGTCTTTGCAGGGGTGGCCACCCCTGACAATCACTGTATAGTCATTTTTCCAAATCTCCAATAGGAAGCCCTGTCATCATCCACTTGATTGGCACCTTTCAGCCATCCTGGGAGTCCCCAAGTTTGCTCCTTCTCAGCTGGCATTCTATGGTGCTTCTGCCCCTCTAGAGAATAAACATGATTCTTCTCAGTCTTCCAGAGTCTCGGGAGGATAACCTCCACTTGACATAAAAGTCAAGGGTTTTCCCTTAATTAATTAATTTAACTCAGTCAGATCTCCTTGATGGCAGCCAAAATACCTGATGATTTACATTTCCTGAGCAAAATCAGTCTAGAGCCGAATAGCCTCATCTCCTTGGGATTTACAAATGCGAAAACAAGGATCAGATGTTAAAAGTCCAATTTGCTTTCAGGACCTCTCCCCTTCCCAAGAAAGGGCAGCCATTGGTAAGTCTGGTTCATTACACTCAGGGTTTCAAATGAGCTTTTGCATTTATATTAATTTGTAGCTTCAGAGAATACTCCATGAAATTGATTGTCCTCAGTGGTCAACCTAATGTCTATATCTTTTTTTAAAATCTAATTTATTTGGGGTAGTTTCTTGGTATTGGGATGAATAAAACTGGTAAAGTCCTTGAGTGCAGGCAGCTAAGCATGGTTATCATCCAACGGCAGATGGTAAACAAGTGAACAAACAAACAATAAGCAATGACATAGGTGAAGGACAGAAACGGAAAAGAAACATGAGTCTTCTCAGCCTAGGACACTCCGAGGATACCTGTGATGTTCTGAAGATGGCTGGGAAGAGATGATCTTAGAGCTGAGATAAGGGCAGGAGGTGGAGTCAAACAAATTCCATGCTCAGGAACATTTTTTCCAGGCAGCAAGGTGCAAGAGAAGCAACCTTTCTGCTGCATTGTCAAGTAGAAACTTTGGGAACTCCACACAACTCCGAGGGAAAGGGGTATGTACAAGATCAGGTACCAGAGAAAATGACTATACCAGTTTTCAGTCTCACCCCTGGTACTCTTAATCCAGTGCTCTTTCTAGAGCATGTACTTTTCAAAAACATGCATATGTGTAGCCACAAAATGTATAACCCATGAAGTAGAATCAGCCCCTCTGCTTACAAAATCTTTGAAGAAATTTCCCATGTAGAAGAAGTGCACTTAAATTATGTAGGTATGCTACTCTATAGATGGTATGCTCTATAGAGCCGTTATGTCCCACCTGTGTGAAGGAGGATGGAGTGATTTGCTTCCAAACAATAAGATGTGGGATATGAAGAGGTAGGAACCAGCACCTCACAGGGGACATCCCTGATCACCACTATCTCTGATGGGTAGTCTGGTCCATCATAGTCATCACAAATCATGGAAATAATTTTCCACCTCTATCATCTCCATACCCAAGTAAGGGGAAATAGCATGAAAAAATACAAAGAAAATCCCAGCATAGAGTACTAGTATGCCTGATGATACTACCCAATGCTCTCAAAGGTCATCAGAAATGAGGAAGGGGTGAGGAAATATCACCTCCAAAATGAATTTAAAGAGACATGATGGCCTAATGTACTTTGATTACTAGATAGAATTATGGAACACAGAGGAAATACAAAAGCTATGAATAAATAATGGATTTGCACAAAAATCCTTCAATACCAGTTAGTTAATGTAGCCAAATGCATCATACTAAAGTAAGATTAGTGACAATGCTAATGATTAGTAGTAACTGGGAGGGAGGGATGGGGAGAACATCTGAGTCTATGACACCTGCCCAATTTGTCTACAAATCTAAAATGGTTCTACAAAAATAAGATGTAGTAATTAATTTAAAAGGTAATATTGAACAGAATCAAACAAAGTAATTAGGAAGAAAAATGACCCTGGCCACATTTTGTCATTTGTCATGAAAGGACCCTGCCTGCTAAATGGCACAA